GCCAAGAGCGAGCAGGGAGCCCCTGTCTCCCATTTCACTGTTCTGCAGCAAAAACAGCCGCCCGGGAACCACATTCAACATTTTCTCTTTTAAAAAAAAAATCTTTATTGTATAACATATGTCCTTTCTCCCCGTCCCCCCTTAACATTTTCTAGAAAAATCTAAAGCTCTTCCAAGCAATATGAATGAGGGGAGGATGAGTCTGGAGTTCCAGGAAAGCATGGGACAACCAGGGGCTCGAAGGAGCTGTGTGGTTTGGAAAGTCACTGAACGTTCTGTGCCACCCACACGTGGAGCAGGAATGATGGGACCTGCTTTGCTTAGTTCATGGTTCATAACCATGAAGGTAAAATGACATGATGTGAAGGCAGGGGGCAAAGACTCATTCCAGCCAGGTGGGCTTCCTGGAGGAGGTGGCATTTAGATCGTGGATGAAGCAGACATGGATGGGCAGAGAAGAGGTGGAAGGGCCTCGCCTGCAGGAATAGCACGAGCACAGGGTGGGTTGTGGCTGCCCTGGGTGGCGCTGTGGCTGTGTATGAGGCTGAAGCCATGCAGGGGACGGCGGGCGCGGGGTGGGCAGGGTCCAGGCTGCGTGTGAGGACCTTAGCGTTGGCTCCTCGGGTCCTGGGAGTCGCAGAGGGCGTTGAAGGGGATGAGCTCAGATCTGCAGGGTGGGCGGGGGGCCACGAGGGTAGACTGCAGGCGAGGCGGTGGGCAGAGGTTCTGGACCAGCGCAAGGGCCACAGAGGAGGGTCCAGACCCAGGAGCCCCACCGAGCCCTCCGCTCCCGGGGGGCAGCAGGCAGTGGCACGAAGGGAGGCCAGGGTCAAGTCCGAGGGCAGGAATCTGCTTCATCTTGAGGTTCCCACCTGAGTGTTTTGCTGCCTGTGGTCCCTGAACACGCCAAGCAAGTTCCCACCTCAGATCTCCGCTGTCTCCCACTCTTCACCAGGGCGCTGTTCAGATGGCACCTCACCAGAGGCCATGCCCTTCTCCCCGGGATAGCTCACTCCACACCCATCACCAGTTAGGTGCTCGTCTTTCTTCCACAGCACCTACCTGCCGTCCTCGGCATAGACCTCGGTGTACTATCCTCTCCTTGCCTCACATCGGCTGACTGAGGGCAGACACTTGTTGCTCACAGCTCGATCTCCCGCACATTCTCTGCCTGCCATACCCAGGGAGCTTGTGGATGGGTGGGTGGGAGGAAAGGTGAGTGGATGGAGGAATGGATGGATGGAAGGATAGATGGGAAGATGGCTGGATGGGTAGATGGCTGAATATGAGAATGAATGAATGAATGAGAGACCTTTTGACCCCAAAGCATTACTCAGGGATGCAATGTACAATTAGGCCAGGCTCTGTCCACCTCAGCACTGTTGGCATTTGGGGATGGGTTTCAGCTCTTTGTTGTGGGGGTTGTACTGTGCATTGCAGGATATTTACAGCAACTTGACATTAGTAGCCACCCAAATTGTGATAACCAAAAATATCTCCAGATATTGCCGAAAGTCATCTGGGGTGGGCACGAGGAGCCAAAATCTCTGCCAGTTGATAACCATTGAGTTACACCTTAACCTTCAATGATTCTTATTGCAAGAAAATACTATGAACGACTATGTGCCAACAAATTTGACAACCTGGGTGAAATGGACAAATTCCTAGAAACTTACCATCTTCCAAGACTCGATGGGGAAGAATCAGAAAATCTGAATAGGCCGATAACAACTAATGAAGTTGAAGCAGTAATCAAAATATTCCCAGCAACAGCAAATAAAGTCCTGGACTAGATGGCTGAACGAGAGTTTTACCTGACATTCAAAGAACATCTGTCCTCCCAAACTATTAGAAAAAAATTCAAGAGACTTTCAAGTTTTTTTTTTTACAAGGCCAACATTATCCTAATTTACAAATCAGATAATTACAGGCCAAAATCCCTGATTAACTTAGATACAAAATACTCAACAAAATATTAGCAACTTGGGTCCAGCAATAGATCGTACACTATGACCAACAGGGATTTATTCTGGGTATGCAAGACTGATACAATATTCACAAATCAAACATGGTACGTCACATAAGCGAAATGAAGGATAAAAATCACATGGTCATATCAACAGACACAGAAAAAGCATTGACAAAATCCAGCACCCATTTATGATAGACTATCAGCAAAGTGGGAATAGAGGGATCATGCCTCAACATTATAAAGGCCATATATGGCAAACATAACCAACATACTCAGTGGGCAAAAACTAAAAGCATTTCTCTTAAGATCGGGAACAAAACAGACATCTGCTTTCACCATTCTTCAGCAGTACTGGAAGTCCTGGCCACAGCAATCAGACAAGAAGAAAAAGAGCAAAGGCATTTAAACTGGAAAGGAGGAAGTAAAACTCATTAGCAGATGAGATTGTACATAGAAAACCCTAAAGACACACAAAAAAAAGAACTAGATTTAATGAATTTGGCAAAATAGTGAGATACAAAATTAATGCCCAGAAAACAATGGCATTTTTATACACCAATAGTAAACTCTCAAAGAGAAACTAATTTAAAAATCCCACTTACCATTGCAATAACAATAAAAAAAAATAATATACTTAGGAATAAAGTTAGCGGAGGGAAAAGACCTGTACTCAGAAAACTAGAACATTGAAAAAAGAAATAAAGGAACAAATAGAAGCATATACTATGTTCATGGATTGGAAGAATGAACATCTTTGAAATGTCCATGCTACCCAAAGCAATCTACAGATTCAATACAATCCTTATTAAAATACTAATGACATATTTCACAGATCTAAAATATTTGAAAAATTTATGTGGAACAAAAAAAGAACCCAAATAACCTTAGCGATCTTGAGAAAGAAGAACAAAGTTATAGGGATCACAATCCTGGATATCAAACTATACTACAAAGCCTTTGTCATCAAAACAGCCTGGTATTGGCACATGAACAAGCATAGAGACCAAATGGATCATGATAGAGACCCCAGAAATTGACCCATACCATTATGGTCAATTAATAGTTGATGAAAGAGGCAAGAGCCTACAGTGGAGCAAAGATCTCTTCAATAAATGGTGTTGGGAAGGTACATACAAAAGGAAAGAAAGAAAGAAAAACTAGACCACCAACTTACACCATATACAAGAGTAAACTCAACATGGATAAGACTTTAAGTTGTGAAACCATAAAAATCCTAGAAGGAAACTCAAGTCTTAAGTAGTATTTTTGCCAAATTCATTTCCTAGGGCAAGAGAAACGAGAAAAATAAATGAGATTACATTGAACTAAAAAGCTTCTGCCCAGCAGAAGAAACCATCCACCAAATGAAAAGGGAACCCACTGTATGGGAGAACACATTCACCAGTGGTACATCCGATAAAGGCTTAAATTCCAAAATACACAAAACTTCTTCAAGTCAACACACCAAGACAAACAGTCCAATTTTTAAAAATGGTCCAAGGACATGAATAGATACTTCTCTAAAGAGGGCATATAGATGGCCAATAGACATGAAAAAATGCTTAATGTCATGGATCATCAGAAAAATAAAAATTAAAACTACAATGATGTAGCACTTTGCACCTGCCAGAGTACCTCCAATAAATCAATAAACCAGTGCTCATGAGGATGTGGAGGTAAGGGGGACACTAGTTCACTGCTGGTGGGAATGCAGATGGGTGCAGCCACCATGGAAAACGGTATGGAGTTTCCTCAAAAAATTAAAAACGGAACTGCCATTTGATCCAGCGATCCCACTTCTGGGAATGTGTTCTGAGAAACCAGAAACACCAGTCAGGAAGGATTCTGTGCACCCCTATGTTCACAGCAGCCTTATTTACAACCAAGGCCTGGTGCGTGGATGCAGGCACTGGTGAGGGCCCTCGGCGTGGCCGTGGGGATCTGGCTGAAACCAGCAGTCCAATGCCACCTGCTGCTCCTGCCTGCCCTGCTCGCCCCGGCCCGGCCCTGACCCCCTGTGCCTGTCGCGGGCTTGCGCCCAGTCCAGATTGGGAGAGGCTTGATGCCACAGCGATGCTCACAGGTCAGGAGCCCCGCGTCTGGTGCTCATCCTAAGGGGGAGTGGGTCAGTCCACCCGGCGGGCCCCGGGATCCAGATCTTGATTGTCCCGCTGACATTTGTGCTGGTTCTCGGGAGCCACCTGGAGGCCACTTTTATATCTCTTCTTCCTTGTGGAGCATCTAGGCCCTAGGAGCATCTAGGGAATGGAAGCAGGCCAGTGCCTGAGCCAATATCCCGGAGGCGGGCGGCGCTGTTGGGAAAGTGCTGGTGGCACCGGTCAGCCGGTCCCTGGCCCGTTCTCCAGAGATTGGACCTGCAGCACTGCTGAGGGAGGGAGGCACTGCCGCCAGGCTGGTGGGCCAGCACCAGTCGGTCAGCTGAGCTACAGTCCCCCTGTGGGAGTGCACTGACCACCAGGGGCAGCTGCGTTGAGCGTCTGCCCCCTGGTGGTCAGTGCGTGACAGCAACCAGTTGACTGGTTGTTCAGTCGCTTAGGCTTTTATGTATATAGATAGCTAAGATCTGGAACCAGCCCCAAGTGCCCATCAATAGATGAGAGGATAAAAAAGCTGTGGCAATGGAATGCTATGCAGGTATAGAAGAAGAAAGAAGAAGAAGAAGGAGGAGGAGAAGGAGAAGAAGGGGAAGAAGAAGGAGGAGGAGGAGGAGGAAGAAAAAGAAAGAGAGAGAGAGAGAGAGAGAGAGAGAGAGAGAGAGAGAGAAGAAAGAAAGAAAAAGAAAAAGAAAGAAAGAAAGAAAGAAAGAAAGAAAGAAAGAAAGAAAAAAGGAAGAAGAGAAAGAAGGCGCTCTTCCCCTTTGCAACAGCCTGGATGGAACGAGATTATCATGCTGCATGAAATAAGCCAGTCAGAGCAAGACAAGTATCACACGATCTCACTTATATGTGGAATCTAACGAACAACATAAACTGATGATCAACATTGGTGCAGAGGCCTGGATGCATGGGGCAGACTGAAGACCTCAGGAGGCGGGAGGGGGAACCGGACCAAAGAACTTATATACAGACATGCCTGGCCCAAGGGCACAGACAGGGAGGGGAGGCCTGGGGCGGGGCGGGCAGAGGAGGCACAGGGGAAGATGGGGGGCATCTGTAATACTCCCCACAAAAAAGCAACTTTTTACACCTGCCCCCCAAGTGCACGTGGAAAGAGGCCCCTCCCCATGACCTCTCACTCCCAGGAGAGCCACACTAGACACACAGGCTTTGCTGCTGCCGTTTATTGTTTTTTCACGTATTTGCATTCCAACTGGAGGCCTGTCCGCCGGCAGGCCCTCCGGCTCCCTCCGGCTCCAGCCCGTGGGCGCCGGGCCGGTCACACGCCCAGCAGGAGGGGCTGGTGCTCCTCGCCGGCCGCGCTGGGCGGCAGCTCGTAGACCACGCAGAGGGAGGAGTAGAGGCAGCCCAGGAAGGACACGAGGCTGGAGAAGTACATCACCGCGCGGGCGCTGCCCACCGCCGCCGTCAGCGGCCCCAGCACCAGCGACACCAGGATCTGGGCCAGGAAGTACTGGCAGCTGAGCAGCGAGATGTCCACGCCCATGCCCCGCCGGGTGCCGTCCGCGCTGGACCCTGCGAACTGCCGGGAGGGCGCTCAGTGCGGCCGGACATATCCCCGCGGCCCGAATCCCGTCCCCGCAGCCCAATCCCGTCCCCGCAGCCCGATCCCCGTCCCCGTCCCCGATCCCCGTCCCCGATCCCGTCCCCGTCCCCGTCCCCGTCCCCGTCCCCGTCCCCGATCCCCGTCCCCGATCCCCGTCCCCGTCCCCGTCCCCGTCCCCGATCCCCGTCCCCGTCCCCGTCCCCGATCCCCGTCCCCGATCCCCGTCCCCGTCCCGTCCCCGTCCCCGATCCCCGATCCCGTCCCCGTCCCCGATCCCGTCCCTGTCCCCGTCCCCGATCCCGTCCCCGTCCCCGATCCCGTCCCCGTCCCCGATCCCCGTCCCCGTCCCCCCGGCCCGAATCCCGTCCCCGCAGCCCAATCCTGTCCCCGTCCCCGTCCCCGTCCCCGTCCCCGTCCCCGTCCCCGATCCCGTCCCCGTCCCCGTCCCCGTCCCCGTCCCCGTCCCCGTCCCCGATCCCGTCCCCGATCCCGTCCCCGTCCCCGTCCCCGTCCCCGTCCCCCGTCCCCGTCCCCGTCCCCGATCCCGTCCCCGTCCCCGATCCCCGTCCCCGTCCCCGATCCCGTCCCCGTCCCCGATCCCCGTCCCCGTCCCCGATCCCGTCCCCGTCCCCCGTCCCCGTCCTCGTCCCCGATCCTGTCCCCCTCCCCGATCCCCGTCCCCGTCCCCGTCCCCGTCCCCGATCCCGTCCCCGTCCCCCGTCCCCGTCCCGTCCCCGATCCTGTCCCCCTCCCCAATCCCCGTCCCCGTCCCCGTCCCCGTCCCCGTCCCCATCCCCGATCCCGTCCCCGTCCCCGATCCCGTCCCCGTCCCCGTCCCCGATCCCGTCCCCGTCCCCGTCCCCGATCCCGTCCCCATCTCCGTCCCCGATCCCCGTCCCCGTCCCCGTCCCCGATCCCGTCCCCGTCCCCGTCCCCATCCCCGATCCCGTCCCCGTCCCCGATCCCCGTCCCCGTCCCCGTCCCCGATCCCGTCCCCGTCCCCGATCCCGTCCCCGTCCCCGTCCCCGTCCCCGATCCCGTCCCCGATCCCCGTCCCCGTCCCGTCCCCGTCCCCGTCCCCGATCCCGTCCCCGTCCCCGATCCCGTCCCCGTCCCCGTCCCCCGTCCCCGTCCCCGATCCCCGTCCCGGTCCCCGTCCCCATCCCCGTCCCCGATCCCGTCCCCGCCGCCCGATCCCGTCCCCATCCCCGATCCCGTCCCCGTCCCCGATCCCGTCCCCGTCCCCGATCCCGTCCCCGTCCCCGTCCCCCGTCCCGATCCCGTCCCCGATCCCGTCCCCGTCCCCGATCCCGTCCCCGATCCCGTCCCCGTCCCCGATCCCGTCCCCGTCCCCATCCCCGTCCCCGATCCCGTCCCCGTCCCCGATCCCGTCCCCGATCCCGTCCCCGTCCCCGTCCCGTCCCCGATCCCGTCCCCGTCCCCGTCCCCGTCCCCGTCCCCGATCCCCGTCCCGGTCCCCGTCCCCATCCCCGTCCCCGATCCCGTCCCCGCAGCCCGATCCCGTCCCCATCCCCGATCCCGTCCCCGTCCCCGATCCCGTCCCCGTCCCCGATCCCGTCCCCGTCCCCGATCCCGTCCCCGATCCCGTCCCCGTCCCCGTCCCCGTCCCCGTCCCCGTCCCCGTCCCCGTCCCCGCGGCCGCAGGGGCCTCACACTCTCCAGCCCCAGCGCACACGGGGCTCAGCCAGGACTTGAATAATATTTGTGCTCAGAGCTGGCGGCGGCGACAAGAATCCGTGACTAACGGGCGGGCCCCTCCGCACAGGGAGGCGCTCTCCCGGCTCTGGTCTTCCCTCCCTCACCGAGAGGCCGCCCGCCGGCCCAGCCGCCCGCCGGGCGCCGTGTCCGGACACACTCGTCCGCGGCCTGGCCCGCCGCACACTGTCCCCAGGCGCCAGGCACACACCTCCCTCCCCACCCACCGCACCACACCGGCATGTGGCGGGCTCGGTGGTGGGCGGTGGAGGACCGTGTCTGTGCGCAGGGCTGCAGGGTGACCTGGCGGGAGGCAGTGTGGGTCCCAGCACAAGCCACCCCCACCCAGAGCCACCGATGCAGCAGGCAGATGCCGCCCCCCACGCCACTGTGTGTGCACCGCCTGGGTGCCCATTAGCCTGGGTGCCCATCAGCCTGGGTGCCCAAACCGCCTGGGTGCCCATCAGCCTGGGTGCCCATCAGCCTGGGTGCCCAAACCGCCTGGGTGCCCATCAGCCTGGGTGCCCAAACTACCTGAGTGCCCAAACCACCTGGGTGCCCATCAGCCTGGGTGCCCATCAGCCTGGGTGCCCAAACCGCCTGGGTGCCCATCAGTCTGGGTGCCCATCAGCCTGGGTGCCCATCAGCCTGGGTGCCCAAACTGCCTGGGTGCCCATCAGCCTGGGTGCCCACCAGCCTGGGTGCCCAAACCACCCATACGGCCTGGGTGCCGGTTCGGCCTGGCCCTCTATCTGGACAGAGGTGGGCACTCGGGGTGGGGGTGGTGGGGTGCCGTGCCCTCCCGGGGAAGGCGGCGGCCTTGTGGGCACCGGCAGGGGACTCGGGGGACGGGCACATGTGTGACCACATCCAGCTTCAGGGCGTGGGGAGGCCGCTGGGGAAGGCGGCAGTGAGCCCAGCCCCCAGCCCGGAGACAGTGCGTGGAGACCCTGGTGACGGCCACACCACCCCGCAGCTCCCACCGCAGCCGGGCGCCTGGGCCAGTGCCCTCCTGGGGGCAGGCAGCCCCTCACAAGCCCAGCGCAGCTCGGCTGCAGGGCAGGGACTGGCGGAGAGGGGACAGCACCGGAGCGGCGTCCCTTGGGTGCTGCTGGCACGGGCCCTGCAGTGCTGGCGGGGGTGCGGGTGCCCACAGCCTCCGGCCCCAGGGTCAGGACAGTGGCCTGCGTGGCCGAAGGGGCCTGGCACCACCCGTCCCGCGAGGTCTGGCCGCTGGACTGGGCCTGCGGAAGGCGCTGCTCAGGCCGCCCCAGGGATTCAGCTAAACCAGGGCCCCGGGCCTGCACCGGGGTGGGTGGGTGAGAGGCCCCGAACCACCGGGGGTGCGAGAAACTCCGTCCCCACGGTGACCTCCAAGCCGACTCCCAAACCTCCGCTCTGCCACACCCACGCCGGGGGCTGCCGCCCGGGAGGGAGGCCATCGCGCTGCCGGGCGACCCTGAGGGGGCCGCACCCACCGCGGCTCCCGGCACCGTCTGAGCCGGCGGGGCCGCAGAGGGAGCGAGTGTGGCCCCGGGGCGGCTGGGGCAGAGGGCTGGGGTTCCTCTGGATTGGGGTGCTGGTCGCAGCGTTGGTGGGGGGGGCGGTTACTGTCAGGATGTTCTCCAGGAACAGCTGTGACCCTGTTTGCCGGGACGCGGAGCAGTGTCCGCAGGCGGAGCCTTCTCAGACCCCCCAACAGAGGGGGTGTGTGCGTGCGTGTGTGTGTGTGTGTGTGTGTGTATCTCCCCCCGCCCCCACGGAGGCAGCGTGTGTGCACGCGTGTGTCTCCCTCCCCCCCAGGAGGCTGCATGTGTGTGGGTGTGTGTGCGCATGTGTGTGTGTGTCTGTGTGTGTCCCTGGCCGGCACGGAGGCAGCGTGTGTGTATGTGTGTCTGTGCCTGTGTGTCTCCCCCCCACCACCACGGAGGCAGCGTGTGTGTGTGTGTGTGTGTGTGTGTGTGTCTGTCCCCGGCCGGCACGGGGGCCTGTCTTTGGCCATTAAAGTCCGGGTGTTTTGTCCAGTGTGGGCTTGGGACACTGATTCTTGTTTTCAGAAGCACTGCGTGGGCACAGCATGATCTTGAGGCTGGGCTTCTGTGCCCAAGGGGGTGCCTCACCCCCACCTGGCCCTGTGCTCACAGGTGACCCTGAAGCCTGCGGGGACACCGCGTGGGCCTCCCCTTCCAGCCTCCCGGCTCCCACCTGCCACCCCTGTGGTCCCCGCCTGATGTCTGACGGGACCCGGTGTTCCCTGTGCACAGGCCCTCCGGGGCATGGGGGCCATTCCCGGGGCGGGGGGCTCTCGGAGCCGCTGGGGGACGGGGGGCTCTCGGAGCCGCTGGGGGGCAGGGGGGCTCTCCGAGCCGCTGATGGGGGTGCAGAGGGCGGGGGCTCTCGGAGCCGCTGGGGGACGGGGGGCTCTCCGAGCCGCTGGGGGACGGGGGGCTCTCGGAGCCGCTGGGGGACGGGGGGCTCTCGGAGCCGCTGGGGGACGGGGGGCTCTCGGAGCCGCTGGGGGACGGGGGGCTCTCGGAGCCGCTGGGGGACGGGGGGCTCTCCGAGCCGCTGGGGGACGGGGGGCTCTCCGAGCCGCTGGGGGAAGGGGGGCAGGCGGTGGGCCAGGGGCGGAGTGGGGCGCCTACCTGCTGGCTTTGGTAGTAGTCGCACAGCAGCGAGTAGGGCAGCGTGCAGAGTGTGGAGAAGAGGATGCCGTAGGTGACGCACAGGGACAGGACCACATACAGGTTGCGGGACAGCGTGGCCAGCCCGGTGCCCAGCCCGAAGGCCAGGTAGGCCCCGAAGTAGAGGGTGCGGACGCTCAGGCGCTCCTCCAGCTTCTCCAGGATCGCTGCGGGGCAGCGGGAGGGTCATGTCCGGCTCCCTCCGCCGACCCGGCTACCCGACAGCTTCGCGGGGCTAGACGGGCGGCAGGTCATTGAGTGAAAGGAGACGGCGCTGGGACCGCCTTTCCATCTCGTAAAGACACACACCTGCCTTCCATCGTGTCCTCAACGCCTGCCCAAGGCCATGGACTCACGGCCCAGGCCCAGGACCCAGGCCATCGACCCACGGCCATCGGACCCATCGGACCCACGGCCCAGGACCCAGGCTGTGGACCCAGGCCATGGACCCAAGGCCGTGGGACCCAGGCCCAGGACCCAGGCCAGCGGCCCTCCCGCTAGGGGCCCCGTGGGCACACGCACCGGAATAGACGGCGGCGCTGAAGGCGTAGATGCACATGCCCCAGCAGCCCATGGTGACGCCGCTGTTGTACCGCTGGAACGCCTCCGACGTGCGCGGGGCCTTGGGGTCCCCCTGGAACACCACCTCGCCCATGAAGTCCGTGTAGAAGAGCAGCATCCCCTCGAACGAGAGCCAGCCTGGGGGGGGGGGGGGGGCTGTGACTGTGACCGTGACCATGACCACGGCACAGACACGGCCGGGCCCGTCGCCAGCAGCAGGTTTCCTGACGGTCAGGGTAACGCCGGACTCAAGGCCTAAAGAGGCACCACCTGCCTCACGCTGAGATCTCGTCCCCGAGCTAAGGGGACACGGGTCCTGGAAGGCAGCCTGTGCGGGCAGGGCCTGGGGGGGGTGGGCGCTCACCCAGGAAGTGGTTGACTCCCAGGTGGGGGGGATAGGGGGGAGGCAGGGTGGGGTACCAGGAGGGGCTCACCCAGGAAGTGGTTGACGCCCAGGTCAGGGGGGGGGGGCAAGGGGGGGAAGTAGGGGGGAAGGGACGGGTGGGGAGCAGGGGGCTCACCCAGGAAGTGGTTGACTCCCAGGTGGGGGGGATAGGGGGGAGGCAGGGTGGGGTACCAGGAGGGGCTCACCCAGGAAGTGGTTGACGCCCAGGTCGGGGGGGGGGGGCAAGGGGGGGAAGGAGGGGGGAAGGGACGGGTGGGGAGCAGGGGGCTCACCCAGGAAGTGGTTGACTCCCAGGTGGGGGGATAGGGGGGAGGCAGGGTGGGGTACCAGGAGGGGCTCACCCAGGAAGTGGTTGACGCCCAGGTCGGGGGGGGGGAAAGGGGGGGAAGTAGGGGGGGAGGGACGGGGGGGAGCAGGGGGCTCACCCAGGAAGTGGTTGACGCCCAGGTCGGGGGGGGGGCAGGGGGGGGGAAGTAGGGGGGAGCAGGGGGCTCACCCAGGAAGTGGTTGACGCACAGGTCGGGGGGGGGGCAGGGGGGGGAAGTAGGGGGGGAGCAGGGGGCTCACCCAGGAAGTGGTTGACGCACAGGTCGGGGGGGGGGAAAGGGGGGGAAGTAGGGGGGGAGGGACGGGTGGGGATCAGGGGGCTCACCCAGGAAGTGGTTGACGCCCAGGTGGGGGGGACGGGGGGGGAGGCGGGGTGGGGGGACAGGGGTGGGGGGGAAGAGGGGCAGGGGGGCTCACCCAGGAAGTGGTTGACGCCCAGGTCGGGGGGGGGCAGGGGGGGGGAAGTAGTGGGGGAGCTGGGGGCTCACCCAGGAAGTGGTTGACGCCCAGGTCGGGGGGGGGGGGAAGGGGGGAAGGAGGGGGGGAGGGGGGGGTGGGGAGCAGGGGGCTCACCCAGGAAGTGGTTGACGCCCAGGTCGGGGGGGGGCAGGGGTGGGGAAGGAGGGGGGGAGCAGGGGGCTCACCCAGGAAGTGGTTGACGCCCAGGTCGGGGGGGGGGGAAGGGGGGGAAGGAGGGGGGGAGGGACGGGTGGGGAGCAGGGGGCTCACCCAGGAAGTGGTTGACGCCCAGGTCGGGGGGGGGGGCGGGGGGGGGGGAAGTAGGGGGGGCGCAGGGGGCTCACCCAGGAAGTGGTTGACGCACAGGCTGCGCAGCGCGCGGGGCGTGTGGCGGATGGTGGTGCAGAGGTGCCGCAGGGACAGGGCCGGCCCCGGCTCGCTGGGCCCGGGCAGCTGGCTCTCGTACTTGACGCCGTTCAGCAGGATGTTGGCCACCTGCCAGGGGACCCGCCCCATCAGAGCCGCCGCCGGCAATGGGGGCGGGAAGGGGGCCGGTGGTCTCTGCCAGACGCGGGGCCCCGGGGCGTGGGCTGCGTGTCGGGCCTGCAGCGCCAGGGGCCCATCTCCCCAGGAGCTCCTCGGCGCCCCCCGAGGGCACAGTCGGAATAAGCAGCCGGGGTCCCAACCCGACCTGAGGGTGCGGAGGACGGGCCCACAACGGCCTCTGCCTGGGGGTGGACAGGCCCTCCGGGCCCTGGCGAGGGCTGTGTCCCCGAGGCCCCCCTGGCACCCGAGGGCACGCCGAGGGGGAGCCCCGGAGGAGCCTCCGCCGTGACTGCCTGGCATGCACGCGGCCGGGGAGCTGAGCCGCGGCCCCGAGCAGAGGGGGCGGCTGTGCTGGGTCAGTGCCGGACCGGGCGGGGAGGAACCAGAGAAGGAAGTCGCCGAGCCGCTGCTTCCAGGCCAGCCCGCCCGTGGGGGGACAGCGGGGCCACCTGTGCCGCCTGAGCCGAGGGGCCTGTTCGCTCAGTTTTCCTCCTTCAGACACAGCCCCACCGCGTGAGAAAGGACGTTTAAAAGGAGCTGCCAGCACACAGGTTTAGATTCTCCACTAACCTCCGTGTCTGAGCCGGCTGGAGTGTTGGGACCGGACGGGGACGGGGGCCCAGCGTGGAGAGGCCTGAGTGGCCGCGGGGACGGGGACGGGGACGGGGACGGGGACGGGGACGGGGTCGGGGACGGGGACGGGGACGGGGACGGGGACGGGGACGGGGACGGGGGACGGGGACGGGGACGGGTACGGGGACGGGGGACGGGGACGGGGACGGGGACGGGGGACGGGGACGGGGACGGGAAGGGGACGGAAAGGGGACGGGGACGGGGACGGGGGCCCAGCGTGGAGGGGCCTGAGTGGCCGCGGGGATGGGGCCGGGGCCGGGGCCGGGGCCGGGGCCGGGGTCGGGGCCGGGGTCGGGGCCGGGGTCGGGGACGGGGACGGGGACGGGGTCGGGGACGGGGACGGGGACGGGGCGGGACCCAGCGTGGAGCCGCCTGAGTGGCCGCGGGGAGGAGCGATGCCGGCCCTGAAGGAGGGATCTCTGCCGTGACTCCCGCTGGCCCCGCCGGCCACTCGGTCCTCCCGGCCCCGGGCGCGGGCAGCGGGCAGTGCCGCCCGGAGTGCGGTGACGTGGCCGGGGAGGTGGTGAGAGCGGCCAGGCCCCGGGCTCGGAGCCGGAGCCGCAGCCCTGGCCGCTGGGCGGGGGGTGGGGGGTCCATGCCCGAAGGGCTGCTGTCAGGGCACCTGCCCGTTTCTGCCTCGACCCCCGGGAGGGGGCGAGCAGGAGGCAGCCGATCGATCGGCCTCCCTCTCCCACCGATCTCTCTCTCTCCCTCTCCCTTCCTCTCTCTCCAAATCAGTCACCAATTAGGGGGAAAGCCACCGGCCGTTCTCCAGGTCACCTCCTGTGAGACGGGGCCTCCCGGGCCCGGGAGGGGACCTGCCTGAGCGCCCGGGTCCCCCCCCACCCCCCCTCCCGCATTGGGGTCCCCCCGGGCGGGGCCCGGCTGCTCCGGACCCCGGAGGAGGGGACAGCCCGTTAGCGTCCAGGGGCCTCTTCGCGCTCAGACCCCAAAAGCTGCTCGGATCCCGCACACCCGTGCAGCCGCCCAGCCAACCCTCCCACCCCACACGCTGCGCACCGCCTTCCGGAAGCTTCTCCGCCTGCACAGTCTGCCGCTCACTCCCTTTCGCACCCAGAGGTTTGCCGGCCTCCGGATGGGGGCGGAGGCCAGACCCAGGCAGGAGGAGGGACGGGGCTCCCCCTCCAGGCCAGGACTTTTCCGGGACCCTCAGCCCCCCTCGCCATCGCCCCGGCCCCGCCCTCACCTGCTGGCTGAAGGTCACGGTCCGCCTCCGGCCGGGCTCCGGCCGGCCCCCCGCCGCGTCCGGGAGGGCCAGGCTCTGCGGCCTCTTCAGGATGCCGGCCGCCCGCGGCGCGGGGGCGTCCAGGGAGCCCACCCGCAGGCCGCCCGCGTCCCCGCCGGGGGCCGGGCGGGGGAAGGCGGGCGCCCGGGGGAAGCTGCGGCTGAGGGCGGGCGGCGAGCCCGGGGCCTCGGGGGCGCCCGTGAAGCAGTCGATGAGGACGCTGTCAATGTGGGCGGCGGCGAAGGACGAGGCGAAGGCGCTGAGCGCCGCCGGGGAGCCGTCCCCGCTGAGGAGGCTGCCGTACCGGGGCGTGAGCGGGCTGGGCGGCGACGGGGGGCTGCAGGGGCCGGAGGGGGGGCCGGGGGCGGCCTCCGGGCCCGGGGCGGGCGGCGAGGGCGGCAGCAGCAGGCTGGGGCTCTTCATGGCCGGCCGGGGCCCGGCGCGGGGCCGCAGCGGCCGCTCGGGGATGCTGAGCAGCGTGAGGGCGGTGCTGGCGCCCAGCACCACGGCCGTGAAGAGGAAGAGGACGCGCAGCTGCCCGCCCAGCGCGCGCCCGAAGCCGGTGCGGTCCCAGTGGACGCCGCCCACCACGTAGCCGAAGCCGCCGCCGAGGCCTGGGGGGAGCCCGGCCTCACTCGGGGGCCACTTCCCCCGGGGCCGTGTGCCCTCCCCCGGGGACTCCCCCAAAGGGAGTGGGAGAATGGGGGGCCCGGGACCCGGCCGGACACAACCCCAAACACAAGCAGCATCAGCCGCACTGAGGCTGGTGCCTGGCGGCGGAGACCGGCTCCGGGGACCGGGCGGTGAACGGGACATGAGGGCGGGCCCGGCCGCGGTGGCCCCGCACTGACCTGCCAGCAGCGCGTGGATGTTGAGGCCGCGGTCCTGGTCGGCCGGCCCGCACACGTCCATGAGGTACGCGTGGCTGGGGCTGTCGGCGGAGTCGGCGCTGAAGTCCATGAGCACCACGCCGCCCACGGTCAGCAGCAGGCCCCAGCGGTGCTGGCCCGCCCCGTCCGCCAGCACCGCGCCCAGGTCCCGGCCGTTCAGCAGCAGCGAGAGGCCCAGCAGCGCCCCTGAGGCGGGAGAGGGGTCACCCGGGGAGGCGGACCTGCCCCCCAGGGGACCCCGGACCCCTTCCTGACCCGGCTCCGGGCAGAGCCCGGACGCCCAGATCTTGTTTTTACTGGGATCGGGGTCCCTGCGGCCAAGGAGAGCAGACTGACTCGAACTGAACGCAGGAAAATAAATAAAAGGCAAGCTGTTCCCGGGCCACCAGGCTGGGGGTGGATCCGGCTGAGCCCGGCCAGCACCGGGTTTGCTAAGAGGAAGCAAGGGGGGCTGTTCGCTTTGCTTTTTATTTTAATTTCAATTCCCAAACAACAGACCTATGGCCAGGACAAGAATGAAAGGGCGTCTCCGTCCAAACCTTGAGGTACATCGGTCACTCCAGGCACCCAAGAGTGGCTGCAGTAGGAATCCTGGAACAGAGCGGGCGGGGTCACTGCGAGGTCACTGCCTGGATCCCCGCGCACAGGGGCCCACGGACACGGCTCTGCGTGTTCCCTGCCGCCCGGGTCTCAGACGTGGGGGCGCCTGAGAACGGAGGACACAGGGCCCGGGACCCCTCCGCTCCCTCCTTCCTCCTCGGCCCTCGTACGCCACGAGGCAGCCGTGACCTTGGGAGTCCACGCAGTGCCAGCTCCTCCCGGACCCAGCCCCTAGGGCTATGGCTTATGGTTTGGATTCCCCCGTGTTAGGGCAGCACCGGGTGGCGCGGGTCCGTGGGGGCAGCCAAACCTGTCCTAGAAGCCGGTTTGTTTGTTTTATTTTGTTATATATATATATACAATATATATTTGCCATCGCCGGTTTGCTCAGTGGATAGAACATCAGCTTACGGAGACGGAGTGCAGCAGGGTCAGGGCACAGGCCTGGGTTGCGGACTCCACCCCCATTGGGGTGTGCAGGAGGCAGCCCATCAATGGTTTTCTCTCTCATCATTGATGTTTCTCTCTCTGTCACTCACTCGCTTCCTCTCTGAAATCAATAAAAAATATTTTTAAAAATTATATATTTTATTTCAGAGAGGAAGGGAGAGAGAGAGAGAGAGAGAAACATGAATGATGAGAGAGAACCATTGACCGGCTGCCTCCTGCACACCCCACCGGGGACCAAGCCCACAACCCGGGCCTGTGCCCTGACCGGGAATCAAACCGGGACCTCTTGATTCCGAGGTTGACACTCAACCGCTGAGTCCCGCCAGCTGGTTATATGCTGGTTTGGACCAAGTTTCCTAAAACACAGGGGTGGCGGCCTGCCTGTGTGTCCGACGGCCCCGGACTGGCGGGTGGACTTGGCTCTGCGCCCCTCGTCCCCCGGGACCCACTGGCGGCAGCCCTGGGGCTCGGAGGGCGCCCCCCCCGGCTGCGCTCACCGAGGATGGGGCTGATGAACCACACCAGGCTGTAGAGCTGGTCCGGGAGGCCCATCTGCAGCAGCACGGGCGTCACGTAGGCCGTCTCCATGGCGTAGCTGAACTCGATGCCAAAGAGGATGCAGCCGTTGCAGAGCAGCTCCCGGAAGGACCGCTGGGGGGGCAGGTCCCCGAAGCCCCCCAGCTCGGCGGGGCAGGGGGTGTTGGGGGGCGGGGGCGGGGAGGGCCGGATGCTCCGCCTCCGGGGGTGCCGCTTGAAGTTGTTGGCGCGGTGGCTGATGTGCCGGGGGGCGGCGCCCGCGTAGCCCGCGGCCGGGGGCCTCCAGGCGTCCTGGGGGGCCGCGGGGGGGCCCAGGGCCTCTCCCGGAGGGGGGCTGCCGGCCGGGGCGGTCATTGTGAGGGCGGCCGCTCGCAGCTCCTGGGGAAAGCCCATCAGGGATGGCAGTCACTCACCGGCCTCACTTCCAGGGTCTGCGTTCCGGGGGGGCCGCCCTCCGCCACCCCGACTGGCACCCCCTGGCCCTTTCCACCGGGGGAAGCTGGGTTCCAACGGGGAACCCTGAGTCCATCCGTCCACAGACCCACCCCCTCTTCCTCTAACCCACCCGTCTGCCCACCCCTTCCAGACAGGCAGAAAAATGTACACTCACCATCCCTCCTCCCTCCCATTAGCCAGCCACCCCCCCCCTGCCCACCCTCCCACCCCCTCACCCACCCAGGCAGCCTTTCACCCCCTTCCATCCTCATATGCCCTGCCCATCCTCCAGTCCAGTGGGCCCCAATCGGTGGCCCATGGACCACTGGTGGCCCATGAGGTCTGAAAGGCTGGTGACCGCTGCTCTAATCTGCTCATCTCCCCTTCTCGACATCCACCCATCCGTCCGTCTGTCTGTCCATTCATTCATCTACCCATTCGTCCTCTGGCCACCTTCCCGCCCACCTCCCACCCGTGCTCCCTCCGCCGAGTGAGGAGCAGGCAGACACCAGCTGCACAGAGACAGGAGATTTCGTCCTGCCTGTGAGCCACGGCCTTCTGCACGGGAGCCACCGGGAAAGCAGCCCGGGCGCCACATTGGGCCGATGGCGTGTGGGGAGAGCGGAGGCCGCGGCCGTGAGCTGGTCACCGAGCCTGAAGACCAGCTCAGGACGGGGTCGTCCCCGGAGGACAGGGCTGGGCTGGCCGCTCTCACCTCCGTAAGGGGCTTATCTGTGACCTCAGACAGTCCCAGCTCTTCTCCACCAGGAACAGGAGTCCCTGCGGACTCCGTGCACACCGTCCTCCATGGCGAACGCAATTCACATGTGACAACCACATCAGGTTTTAGGATTTGTTAAAGCTCAGCTGGTTATTTAAGTTCCCCTGGTAGATACTTGGCATATTAGGCTTTTATTAGCCCTTGTACACCCTATGTAATAAAAGGCTAATATGCCAAGTATCTGGCCGACCAGTCAGCCATTCAACCAATCCAAACTCAATATGCTAGTGACATGCTAAGGCCGCTCAACCACTCGCTATGACATGCACTGACCACCAGGGGGCAGATGCTGTAATTGGTAGGTTAGCTTGCTGCTGGGGTCCGGCTGATTGGGACTGAGAGAGACAGGCCGGACACACCCTGAAGCCTTCCCACGGTCCCTCCCCAGCTGGCCAACCTCTTGCGTCCCTCCCCGGCCCCATAGTGCAGTGGTGGGGTCCTTTACCTGGCCTGCACCCTCTCACAATCTGGGACCCTCAGGGGACTGTTTTGGCCTGGCCTGTGGGGGCCCCGCTGGTGCATGGATTTGTGTCCTGGGCCTCTAGTGATTAATAAATTTACACAGTGTCCAGGCCACATAAGTGCTTAGAGCGACCCTCCCATGCGCCAAACGCCTTTCCTCTTGTCTAATCTCCTACAGGAACATGCCCTCCGCCAGAGGTCACCCAGGGCTGCGTCCCTCCCACCCTCTGCCTCCCACCAGTCCTCGGGCGAATCCTGCCTGGGCTTGAGGGTGGAAAGTTCACAGTCTGATCACTGGGCTGTGGCCCCTGCGTGTGGGCAGCGGACCCAGGAGCCCATCGGCACCGCCTCCTTTCCTGCGAGGCCGGCGAGCAAAGCCCGAAGTCACTCCGCGTCCAGGACCCAGCGGCTGGGAGCTCCCTGCCTGGGCCTGGGCTTGTCCCTCTGCAGGGCAGCCCCTGGGCTGGTGACAGCCTGACCGGACACTGAGAGTGAACCCGAGCTCAGCCTGGGGGAGGGGAGTGCACCTGCGCGCACCTGCCCAGGTGACTGAGGGACAGGCCTCCGCCCGCCCCCTTCCCGCGGGAGCCGCTCCCCCAAGGCCAGGGCGCCCAGCGGGGTCCCCATCCTCAGCTCCCGGGTGAGACCCACCCTCAAAGGCTGCCGGCGCCGGATCGCCTGGGCCTGAGCCGCCGCCTCCCGCACCCGCCGCTGCCGGAAGCCGCGCGGGGGGAGGCGCGGGGGGAGGTGGTACCTGCGGGTCCAGCCGGGAGGCATCCCTCCTGGAAGCCGGGCTCGGGCCTGCCCGCCGGCCGCTCAGCCCCGGTCCTGGTCCCGGTTCCGGTCCCGGCCCGCAGCCCCAGGCCCGGCCGCCGCTGCAGCATCACCGGGGGCGGGGCCTGACGTCACGCTGCATCCTCCGACGCCGGCCCCAGAGCATCCTCATCCTCATCCTTAAAGCGGCACCAGGGCGGCCCCAGAGCATCCTCATCCTCATCCTTAAAGCGGCCCCGCGGCGGCCCCAGAGCATCCTCATCCTCATCCTTCATCCTTAAAGCGGCGGCACCGCAGGCCGGCCCCGAGCGGGGTGTGTGTGTGTGTGTGTGTGTGTGTGTGCCGGGTGCGCCCCCGCCCCCCAAGCCCCCCAAAGGCCCGGACGCAGGCGGCGGTGGCCTCCCGGGTGGGGCCGAGGCGCTCCCACCGCAGCCAGCCCTTCTCTGAAAACAGTGAGATGTGCTCTGGGCGGGGCTGGTTCACAGGTGGGTCTATCGGTTCTGTTAGCACATTTCTGTGGCCTAAGAGGTCTCGTTGTTTCCGTCCGATTTTACGCAGAGTGAACTGGTTTCGGGGGGGCCCCTCCAGCCCTGTGTGCCGGGCCCCGCCCGTGGGGAGGGACGAGGTGCCCCACCCAGAACGTCACTCCATGTCACCCATTCACCTCCGGGCGCCAGGGCCTCCGGGCGAGTCTGTCCGAGCGGCTGGGCTGTGGGTGACGAGAAAACTGACAGAGATCCTGCCCCTGGGCCTGGCACCCTGGGGAGGAAGAGGCGCATTACAAAGCCAGTGTGGCTCCATGGTTGGGGCCTCCTGACCAAGGGCACACGCCTGGCTGCAGGTTCATCTGTCTGGGTCTGGGCGCCTGTGGGAAGCAACCAGTTGTCTCTCTCACATCGATGTCTCTCTCTCTCTCTCTCTTCTCTCTCTCTCGTCGATGTTTCTCTCCCCCCCCCCTCTCCACTTTTTAAGAAAAAATAAATAAATGGGAAAAATATCCTTGGATGAGGGTTAAGTAATAATAATAATAATAAATAAAAAGACAGATCCCATCAGTACGTGATACGCCCCGAGAAGGGGCTCAGTGGGGGCTGGAGGCGGTGCGGGCACTTCCTGTAGAACAGGCTGTGGGTGAGTCCCATCTGAAGGTGCGTTTGAAGAAGGACATGGAGGAGGGAAGGGGCCGGCCATGCCAGGCAGGGGGATGAGCAGGTGCATAGGCCCTGGGGCAGAGGTGAGGTGAGGGGGGCTGAGGGGAGGCCGCCCCAGAACGTGCCCGAGGGGGCGGGCGCTGTGACGTTATCGCGGGCGTGAGCCCTGTCGGGAGGGTCTGAGAGCCTCGAGGACCAGGGAGAGGGAGGAGGTGGAGGCCGGGTGGGCGGGACGGCCTGGGGTGGGGGCTGAGGTGCCCAGAGGCCAGCAGCAGGCGGGCCTGGTGGGCGCAGAGAAGAAGGGAGATGGGCGCGGGGGCCAGGTCAGTGTGTGTGTGTGTGGGGGGGGGGGGGGGCCTGGGGCAGACTGGCCCGGCTTACAGGCCTCGGAGCTGCCGTCATTTTGTAAGAACAGGATGAAGCTTAGAAATGGTCTCTGCGGGAGAGCAGGTGACTTTAGTCAAACCCGTATTTTGCAGAGATCATGGAGCTGAGGTGGGGATGGACTTGAGCGGCCCGAGGACCAAGTGGTCACAGCAGGAGCTTGGGGGGTGGCCCAGGTGGGAGAGGATGGGGTGGGGGGTCTCGTTGCCCGCTCAGGGCTGAAAAAGACAGTGGCCCCTCAGGGGGGTGAGCTGAGGGGCCACCCTCCCTCCTGTGGGAGGACAGACAGGCCGGGAGGCCCTGAGTCTCCGGACTCAGGCCCCGGACTCAGGCCCCGGACCCAGGCCCCCGGATTCAAGGCCCTGGACTCAGGCCCCGGACTCAGGCCCCGGACTCAGGGCCCCGGACTCAGGCCCCGGACCCAGGCCCCCGGATTCAAGGCCCTGGACTCAGGCCCCGGACTCAGGCCCCGGA